GTCAATTAGTTGATCTAGTGACACTGATTGACATCACTTCTTTGAAATCTCAAATTTTAAAATTTTATTTACTAATGCTATCAATAACTATGTTATTATAGACTCTATATATATATATTTTTTACAGCACTATAAGATAATAGAAAATAAAAGAAAGAGTGGTACTAATCATTGCCTCATTGATGACTTGGTACTAGTGGAGCCATCTGTGTAAAGACAAACTAAACTCACAGTGGCCACTGGATACCATCCCCTGTAGCAGCTGTTAAGGTAACAGAATTCTTAAGTGAAGATTTGAGGGCTGCGTACTTTTCTATATTTGATATCACTGAAATAATTGCTGGAAACTGGAAGTTGCCTTCCTCCGCTTATTGAAGTTGGTTAAGGGAAAGATGACCTCTTACATTTAACCTTTAGCCATGCTTAACCCCTTATCCAGCATAGGTTTCATGATGCCTGAGATATGTTTAAGATTTGAAAGCCACAATTTTTGGTCTAAAATAAGAAAATCTGAGATGTCACCCTCATTTTTTTTTTCTCCTTTTTTTAGGGGGGGGGGGGGATGTGTGTGTAGGGGGGGATTAATTGTTAATCTTATTGTAAATGATAGGATAGTGTGTGTAGGGGGGGATTAATTGTTAATCTTATTGTAAATGATAGGATAGTATCTGATCTTCAGAAGTGTTTATGAAGGGAAAGTGTTTAAACCTTTCGTAACATTTATATTAGTCGTATTTCTTTCACACCAGCAACTGGTGCAGAAGCAACAGCCATTCATTATTTGTGCGCACCACTAGAGGCTGGGAGTATCATTTGTTTTCCTTTCAGTATGACAAGAATAGAGGGGATGCATTATATGAGGCAAGCTAACCAATCTGAAGTTTTAATTTTTTTTTTGTTATATTTTTGTTTAGCATATTTACATTTTTTTTTTCTTTTTTTAAACATTCACATACTCATTCATGCACACAGAACAGGATCAGTTTTTATACATCTTGAAAGCATTGGTGATACAAGTATAATATACTTGGTCTGGTAAGTTCTTGAAGATTTGTATTCTTGAAAGCAGCAAATACAACTTGGTGAAGAAATGAGGAATACAGACCTATGTGAGGTTCACATACTACTGGTGCTGGGAATTTTACCTAACATCACTTTGAAGCTTTCAGATATTTATTTTTTTGTCAAGAAGGTAATTTCATATGCAATTATTTTGACATGTACATTAGCAAGACTAGTAATAATATAGGTTCAATAAAAATATATATGAATAAAAAAAGTAGTATATCCCTGTTCCACTTCATGCATGATTTATTTTGATTTGGGACTAACATAATCATTAGAATATAAGTTCATCCTTGGGAGAAGTTATGAAAGCTGTCAGCATCTTTTTGCAATTACTACTCTGACTGACAGCTCTTTCCTCCTACTCTTTACAACCAGTTCTTACTTTTTTCAATATCACAAGAATATGGGTGTAATATCATGAACAAAAGTCACAGTTTACCCTTTCTGGAACTTGGTTGAACTGTTACAAATGCCAAAAGCATAATCCTTAATAAGTCAATGTCAATTTTAAGTGAACTCCTGTATACTCAAACTACTGTCCATGACAATACACAAATACCTATGAAACGAGGGGGGATTTACCAGCCTTCAGTAAACATTGGTTCAACATGCACTCCTGTTTGTTTATTATAAAAAAGTAATAATTATTTCATACAACAAAAACTGTATATATTTATATAAATATCTGTGTTGTTTTACATAATTAGATATAATTTGCAGTGATCAGCCATCTTTTATCAAACTTCAATCAGTTTGCTTCCTTTTAACAGGCAGTTAACAGGCTCAATAAAAAAGGAAGCCAGTTGCTTACATCTTCCTGCAGTAAATGCTTCAGAAAAATAAACCTTGACAAGAAATACTAAAAACTTAGAACCCTTGGATTGTTAGTAAACAAATAAATTATATATTTACATAAATCCCATGGACTCTCAGATCCAGCCATTGCAGTATCAACTTTCTAAGGCCTACTAATAGCACTAAGATGTTATTTGCAATTTTGACACACCAGGTTCATAATTGACGTTAATATCATCCAACTCTCATGCAGTCATGCCTTTTCTTCAGATATTTGAAACTGCATAATCTGCACCCAATTATAAAAATCATATCTTCAACATGCAGTATCTGCTATACCACTTTTCATGGAACTTTTCACACAGTAAAGAGGAGTTGTTATGAAATCACCTGATACCCTTTCTGCATATATATACCTATATTAACAGTGAAATTATCTTGTGGTGGCTGGAACTAGAACATGAAAAAAGACTAATTTTCTTGATAATTATGTAAATGAACAATACCACAAGAAAGAAAAAAAGAAAGTTTAGCTTCCCTCCTCCACTCATCAGGATGGCTCCTCTTACCAACTGCCTGTTTGAGAGGATATTGACCCTAATGGGTATTTACCTAAATGAAATGTCATCATTTTCTAGATGTCAGCTCTAGAACTTAAATACGTATAAGAATAAAAAAAAAGATTAATAATCAACATAAACACTTTTTTGTTTGTTTTTGTCTTTTTACTTTTTTTTTTTTTTTTTTTTTTATGGATGTTTTTTATTATCATGAAAACACATCTTGCCTATTGAAATATAATTTATTACATGGAACTAATTAAAAAAGTATACAGCAGTCTGAGACAATAAACACTGGAAATGATGATCCTTTCAACCAATTTTCTGAATCTCAAAAATGAAAAAAATATTAATAAAAATTAAAAATAAAAAAAGCTAAGGTGAGGGAGAAAAATTGTTTGTGCGGCCGCGCCACACACTAGATGTTTACATCACGAATACCACCTATTGACTTTGAACTGCATTCCAGTAAGCTTTACCCTCTGCTTTACGACAAAGAGAAAATAAACCTTGCCGTGACACAACAGCTAACGTAAACAACTGGTAATCATGTTGCATTTTCTGGCAGCTGGAAGTGGTCTTGTAGAAGCAATGAGCACATCAACATAATCCTGTGAGACATTCATGCTACTTACCTCAGTCACTGGGCCTGTGGGGCACAGCAGCGCTCAGCCCTCATGCTTGTTAGGGTTAGTTCTAAGCCTAGAATGACTTATTAAGCAGAAACCCAACCAATCCCAGAGGTTAGCGCCGTCATGCCCCATTTCCCTAGTTATTCAAGTCACCGGTCACAGCTCAATTTGGCAACAAGACACATTCAAATTGATAAAAAAAAAAGCCAGGCATCCGAGAAAGAAATTTGGGCTCTGCAGTCCATATCTTTTTTAAATTTTAAGCCACTAATCTATTGATAATAACATGGCAAACTCCTATCCATTCAACATCACTGGATTCACCTAGTCAGCCATTTTCTTCTTAAATTATATTTTAATAGCCTTGATAGAAGGCAACTAATCACTTCTCAACAGATGATCTGAGGATGAAACACAGATACAAGATCACAAGGGTGGGCACCCACAGTATTTCTATATATCAGCTGCTGAACATGTCCTGTGGGATGGCAGCACTGATAAACGGGCACTAAAGCCCAGGATGATTTGGTCGCCGTTGGTGTGTGGCACATGTGGCCACCGTCGACTTGTAAACAGAACAACCCAAGAGACAAATGAGCCACAACTCGACCAAAGGTGAGCCTTGATAGGGTGGCCAACGCGAGTTTTGTGGCTTCATGCAGATGCAACTTTGTGGGGCAGGCCGAGTTAGTGCAAAAGCCCTTCCAGGGGACCTTTCTTGCACCACCTGATGGCCATGCCCAGACATCCACCAGATGGGGGTCTGTAAAGTAAGAATAATTTTTGAGCATGTATTATAAATAATACAGAAAAATAGTAGTTGTAATCTAACATGACTAGATGTTTATATTCTGATAAAAATTCTTACATAATAATTTCATTAGAATCATTCATTCTTAAACACTGGGATTCATTCTAGTTATTCTCTCCCTGTGGCCTCATCATGTCTATTGACATTTTAACCTCTTAGAGCCGGGCAATGCCTACAGCCGTCATGAAAAACCAACCCATCATGACTGGTACAGCTAGAGGCATCACGACACACTAGAGTCAGTCAAGAGGGAAGTTCCACGAGATGTAACGGACTCCCGGGCCAAATGGCTGGATGATTGCCAGAGATCACCGGAATGAGTGACACCCAGAGATTTTTGGTACCATCATTGTAGGGTTAAAAGGTCAAGAACATGGCTGAACCTAAATAGCATGGAGACATTGGGACTGACAGAGGTTGGGAAGCACAGAATGAACAAAACCCAGTGTTTGTTGACTACACATTCACATACATGCCCCAGCACCATGGGTTTCATATCTATTAAGTAAAATATCAGTAAAAAATGGCATACACTGAAAGATTGAGAACTTACAAAAAAAAAGTACAATCAAAACTATAAAAATATACCTACAAAACAAGAAAAAAAACTTAAAACACTTAAAAATTCTAACAAAATACAGACAAAGGATCCCCCTTACTAATACCTACCTAAGCTCTAGTCACAGGAGGACCGCTAAAATTTGTCTTGGAATATGTAGAGGTTGTTAGTTGCAGCCACAGCAATTATATTTTCATGTGGGTGCCATGCTGTGTGGAGGATCTTCTTATTGAAATCAAGGCAGTCTACACTGATCTCATCTTTCTTTCTTTTGCCTGCAGTACATACCTAAAACAAAAATGGAGTTTATCATTGACAAAATTATAGTGGCTTTAACAAATATCTTTGAGTATAAACACACGAAAGTGAGTGTTTACATATGTTTACACCTATATGTATGGAGGAAGGGAGGGAGGAGGAGGTGATAACTTCACATACAACACTTAAACAGTTGGGGCACAAAATTTATACAAATATACTAATATTCTTAGTATAAAAAAACTGACTTATTACAATTTACTTATACCAATGCATATTAATTTTTTTTTAGCATGTTTAGCATAATATAAAATTATAAAGGATATCTTAGGGGTTTCACGTTTATGTTTTGCATGCAAAGTAGTTTTTCTTTTCTTTTTTCTTACTTTATCTAAATAAAAGCATACATATATATGAAACTGGAGACGAAACAACACTATTTTCAAAATAACAAAAATCTGGTTTACCTTTCTTGGCTTTAGTAAAGTTCTAGGCTTAGCAGTTTCCCTTGAGGCTTCTAGAGTTACATCTCGCTTCGTCGTTCTGTCAAACATGCGGAAGAAGTTGTTGTACGAGCCTGTCATGATGGCAGAGTCATTGCCGCTCCAACAACATTCAAACTTATCAAATATACAGTCATTCTCATAGAGTGAGCACAGCTTGGAACGTAGATATTCATGCACCTGTAGAAAGGAAACAAGGTGGTGTTATTTTCTGTAAACACATTTCATGAACAATCAAAATTAACAACTTTATCCTTTATAATAAAATAAATAAATAAATAAATAAAAAATCAGTTTCTTTCATCATTATATCTATTCATTTCCAATTTTGTTGTCAGGCATGGTAGCTTGTGATGATGCCCTCTGACTCACTCCCAGTAGATTCACATTCGCAATCCTTACCGGATACGTTTCTATAGGTTTGGTCTCCATGTGTAGATCCCATACTTTGACAGAGAGGTAATCCCTAGAGATCATGTAGCGACCGCTGTTGGAGAACTTAACATCACTAATGGAGGAGATAATTTCGCTGAAGAAACAACGGTTGGTTGGATCCTCAGGCTCCTCAAATACTGTGTGGAGAAAACATTCATGGTTTACAATACAGAAAGAATTCTTATTTTTGTATTAAATATTCTAACTTAACCTTGAATCTTTTAGTCCAACAAACACAAAATTAGATTGGCAAAAGATAATATTGATATGCAATAAATCATTCTTGTATTTCTATTATCATTCTTTATTTGAACTTGATCACAGCATTCTGATATAAAAATTCAACTATCTGAACCAAATCCAACAAAACATTGGCTAAATATGCAAAATCATTAACTTACATTTAGTGTGACTATCACAGAGGGCAGCTTGCCGCATGTCACATAAGCGAATGGTTCCCTTACTGCTTGAGTATACAAATACATTGCAGTCATGTGGATGAAACTCGGCAGCAGTAATCACTTCTGTTAATTCTTCCATGTTGGTAGGCTTGATGTCCACGATGTTGAATGACTGAAAAAGTTAAAAGTATATAGTAATATTTTGAAAATATAAATAATCCAAAAGCTCTTCCTTTTTTTGTTCTTAAATGACTCTTAAATTATGCAACATTTTTATATAAAAAGTCACTTATTCTGCTAGAATTATATCATAATGATATATATATATATATATATATATATATATATATATATATATATATATATATATATATAAATATATATATATATAAAAAAGAATGATAAATCATACCTGATCAGTAACTTCCATATGCCATAAATTGATGCGGAGATCATCAGCTGACAAATAGGTCTCCTGATCTGAATTAATAGAGATGGAGTTGATGTGGTACGTATGTGCATTGGCGAAAATTCTCCGAGGAGAGGCTTCTACCATAAGCTCCATTGGTTTTAAGACAGGCACCTGAAAGTAAAAACAAAAATATGCAATTTTGCAATCACAAAAAGTAAACCCAAGTAATATTCCCACCAAAAACTCTTTCCAATATCGACACATTAAAGAAAAAATAGGGAAGCTTCAAAGCAGAAATAAACTTACCCGTAAAGTTGTGAGTGAAGTTGGGTCCCTGATTTGGCCGGACTCGTCCCTTAAGTTGTAGCCCTCTGCTCGCTTGTCTCGTTCCGAAACCTTCCATAACTTTATTGTTTTATCTGTAAGCAGGACAAGCCAGTCATTCAGAAACAACTCTGCATGATGCTTAGAATCCTGGAGTGAAACTACTTGCTCTACTGTCTTATACTATCAATATTTTAACCCATTATGAAGAGAGATCAAGAAACCAAGATCTTTCAGACTTCACATTTTTTTAAACTGAAGTATTAGCCATCTCTACTGAAAATATAGTTCCTGAGTTGGGAAAAATTCTTCATATCTACCATATACATAATCAATGAAGATTCATTATAGCTACTATGTTTTGCACAGCTGACTGATCTTATTTACCAAAATGCAACATTCTCATGATTGCACACAAGTCAACTCTGACGAATCTTCAAAATCCCAAGGGATGCTGTTCAGTAGATAATTTCTCAGGTAAATTTAGGGATCTCAAGATATGTTTGCATCAAAGGTGATACATGAAGAGAAATTCTATACAATGTATTCATAATCTGTGGACCAGGTTTCTTTTATTTTCTCATTAAATATGTAAATATGCAGGATGTTTTTTAAGCTTTTTTTTCAGTACTTTTTCAGTTGAGACACTAACCATCACTCAACGAGAACATGGGAGGGATTTTAGACAATATTGAGACTAACTAGCCAAAAAGTAAAATAATTTATCAAGTGAGTGTACTGA